GGCTGGCATGTGGTGCTGGGGGATTGAACCGCGGTCCCTGTGCTTTTGCTAAGCTTGTTCTAAGTAGGTGCTTTAGACCACTGAGCCATCTCACCAGCCCAACCAATGCTTTTCTACAACTTCCCTTTCCTCCAAACCTACTGCCTACCTCTCTAGGCAAAGATACTCTGGTCGCCTGAGCCATAATCCACTGGGGCCACAAATTTTATAGCAAAAGAATGGCTTCTGGGTTCCCTGCAGCCAGGCACCTCCCACTGTACCCCAAGGCGCGCCAGACTCACCACACAGAGGTCTTGTTCTTCTCCAGCTGTACCCTCCAGGGCTTGCTGGCATAGATGGCCTCCCCACTGACCTGCAGCCACTTGCCCACGGCCAGCAGCCTTTCTTGGAAGATGGGGACGATCAGTCCATCTTTAGTAGGCCCCACGTTGAGAAGATAGTTGCCTCCCAGACTGACAGTCTGAACCAGTTCCTGAAGGGCGCAGAGACAATGAAAGCGAACGGGGCATGCCAGGCCTGGGGCAATGCTTAGAGTACACAGATATTAGGATAAGCAAAACAATCACAGCATATTCTTCCTCATCTGTGAATACAGTTTGCCATTTAAAACCTTGACTTCTTTGTCATTATTAAAGCAGTACAGGTTCACAGGTGAAAACAAAATTGCTATAAGGTGGTATTAATCCGGACCTCAGGGCTGCACATATCATGGCGCTGCTTGCTGTGGGAAGGGTGGGGTCTCAGAAGCATGGCGCATAACCAGGAGGGCCGAGAGAAAGGCACCAGGCTGCAGAGGGGTGGCTCAGAGCCACGGAATGAGGGTGGACTGGTTGGCAGGGGGCACAAGGGTCAGAGACAGAGGTGTGAGTGGCTGCTGTGGGGACCTGGGGAGCGAGAGGACTGCCCGGGAATTTCCAGATGTTCGTTAAGTGCTGGGCCAGGTAAATGCACAAGCTGCCCTTCTGGGATAACTGCTATAAAGTAGGCCTGGGCAGAGGGAAGGACGGGCGCTTAGTTTACATCAAACAAGCACGCTTCAAGGCAACTCAGAAAGACTAAGATCACATACAGAAAACTTAACAAAGGAGAATCCATTGTAGCACGCCAAGAGACACCACAGCATCAATGCTTAGCATCCACTTTCAGTCTTTTTCTTCTGTAGTTCATTTAATTTAATTTATTGGTAGGAAGGACTGAGCACAAGACCTTGCACTTGCCAGGCATGCACTGTACTGCTGAGCTATCCCTGGCTCTGCAATTATTTCTATTTTTTTTATTATTATTATCACTTTGTATTTAGTACAGGGCCTCACTACACAGATCAGACTCGTAGTGAGTGATCCTCCTGTTTTCAGCCTCCCAAGTGCTGGGATTACAGGTGAGCACCACCACGCCCGATCTCAATCACGGGCAGCATATCCCAGGGGCGG